TGGCTGTCAGACTCTGACGTCTGGACACTGTAGGAGCTCCACATCCACTCTGAAAAGCCTGGGAGGGGGACTCTCTGCTTGGTCTCTCTGGTCAGCACTGAACTGAGGCCACAATAGAGTGACAGAGGGGGCTTGCCTGCTCACTCTCTTGTGCAGACATGCTCTCTCTCTCTCTCCTTTTCCTTGATTTGGGTTTGTTCAATACAGCTGAAATGGCCAAGCTCAAGGTATGTTGGAAAGCAGCTTCCATTTCTCAAGTGCCCACCCAAGGGGAGGAGCTGCCAGCTGGTGGTGAGAGCAGAGGAAAGGGGTAGAATAGCCTCCTCTCTAGGCTTCCTGGTTGCCCTTCCTCAGAGAGCAAGCCCCAAGAATGGATCTTGATGGGGCAGTGAATGGATAATGACAGAAGTGAATCAATCTCCCATCTCCCCACTTGAGCTGTCTCCATTCCTAGCTCTTGCTCTGTGCCCAGCCTACAGATAGCACATCTCCACCTGAATCATTACCTGTATATAATACTGTCGACGGAGAAGGTAAAACCATCAAAAGAGTTTGCCACCACTAGAAAAGAGTCTTCTCCCACTGAAAAAAACTCCCAGTCCAGAGCACTGTGGAGTAAAACAAACACATACAGCGTCATTGAGAACAGCCTCCAAAAACATCTCCAGGCAGTGTCAGGGCACTAACCTGCCCCTGGCCCAGATAACTGTCTGCTAGCCATTCCCTCAGCCCTGTTCAGAGCTGGCAATCCCAGTTTACCTCCTAGCAGATAGTCCTCTCCAAAAGAGAAACTACTGCCAGCACTGTCAGAGTCAGTAGGAAGGGTACAGGCTTAATGGCATGACGTAGCCTTTTCCCCTTAGGAATAGTTCCTTTAGGCCAAGGTGTGGGCACATGAATGGGAGAGTTTCTTGCTCTGGTACCCACAATGCACCTGTTTCATGAATAACTGAAAGACTTCAGTTCCCTGAGTGGTTCATCCAGCCCTTTTTTCCACAAGCACTTCAGTTCCTGGCAAACCTGACCTCAGGTTACACCCAGCTGTGGTCATCCCTATGTGGATATGAGTTATATGTGCCAGTGTCAAGTCATCCCAGGTCAAGCCAAGACCAGCACACATCAAGTCTTGCAAGCACGTTGTCAAATGCAGGTCCTTACTACAGCTGTAGGGTGATGCTCAGCTCCACAAGCCACTGGCTCCAACCCATGCTGCACTCAGAAGTGTAACAAAGGGCATATCCATGAGCCGCTGGCAGGCACTTGCCACTTATAGAGTGGCCAGACTGAATAGCAGCTTCTAGACCTACACACACAGATTCAGAGAATGGCTGTGAAGCATGGCTAAGCTTTTCCTTTTATCTGAGCTTGCTGCTACATCCAAGCAGAGGTGGAGATGACTGGGCTGGGCCTTGTGGGGATCAGGGTGTGGCCCTTTCTTTGAAGTGACCTGTGAAAATCCAGCTTCTTAGGCCATGTCTATAGCAACTCCCTGCCAGACCCAACAGTCACATGCTGACCACGTGCTCCCTCTGAACACACAATCAACCTCAGCAATTCTGTGGAGATGATGGCTTGAATGCACAACCAAGCTCTGCTCTCAGGCAAATGGCATGGATTCCCTCTATGTCTGCTACTCTACCTAACTCTGGGCTCGGGGGCACGCAGAGCTGGCTTCTCAGCAGTGGTCCCCAGCTTGGCACAAAACAGTGTGGACACCACCTCTATTTCTGATGACAATGTTGAGAAATCAGCTCAGCCAGTGTTTCCACTTTGCAAACTCCTGTGCAGCTTAGCAGCATGTGGAATGGGGGGCAGCGGAGATGCAGCCTGTATTGCCAGTTCCTGAGCAAGCCACTTACAGCCTGACTTCCAAAAGTTTCCTAGTTTCCTAGTTGGTAGGGTCAGAAGGGACCTGAGCAGATCATCAAGTCTGACCCCCTGCCATGGCAGGAAAGAGTACTGGGGTCAAACGACCCCAGCAAGGTGATTGTCAAGCCTTGCTTAAAGACCCCCAGGGTAGGAGCCAGCACCACTTCGCTTGGAAGTTGGTTCCAGATCCTAGCTGCCCTGACAGTGAAGTAGCGCCTCCTGATATCTAGTCTGAATTTACCCTCTGCCAGCTTGTGACCGTTATTTCTTGTCACTCCTGGTAGTGCTCGGGGGAACAGGGACTTCCCCAGTGCCTGCTGGTCCCCTCTGACTAGTTTGTAACAGGCCACTAGATCCCCCCTCAGCCTTCTCTTGTGGAGGCTGAACAGGTTCAGGTCCCGTAGCCCGTCCTCGTAGGGCCTGCTCTGCTGCCCCCTGATCATGCGAGTGGCCCTCCTCTGGACCCTCTCCATGTTATCCACATCCTTCCTGAAGTGCGGCGCCCAGAACTGGATGCAGTACTCCAGCTGCAGCCTGACCAGTGCTGCATAGAGGGGGAGGATCACCTCCTTGGACCGGCTCAAGATGCA